CCTCTCCAACTTCTTCCTCCAATTGTCTACGGCAGTAGGGTCACTCTTTCCCCCCCAAACATCTCAGTCCCCATGAGACAAACATTTTTCATAGCCTCCCAATAGGTTGATACAGGCTCCGTGTCCTACCCATGACCTAAAGGTGGTAGTGGGGGTGGTCGAACTGCCACAACTGGCTCCTCACGGTGCGGATTGGCACCTGCATGTACTCCTTCCGCGTTGAGGTCTCCATAAAAAGGATTTCCATACCTCTCGCGATACCTCATTAGCTCTTCTCTTTCAGCAGCTATCTCTGCAGCTCGAGCCTGATCAGCAACACGAGCCTGCTCAGCCACACGAGCTTCCTCTGCAATACGCGCTTGGTCCACAACTCGCGGTTGCTCAGCTGCACGCGCCTGCTCTTCTCGAGCTTGGGCGGCAGCACGGTCCTGATCCACAGCCAAAGCCTGTTGCGCGGCTAAGGCTTGAGCACGTGCATCCTCTGCCTGCTCCCTGTCACGAGTCCCCTCGGTATTGCCTCCATTCACACTTCCTGTTGAAGTGGTTTTGGTTCCTTCCTCACTCTCACGGCGCGCTGTACCTCTAGTCAAACGTTTTCCCTTTGGTGGCATTTATTCACAAGGATAAGTAATTAAAATCGGGTCCTACGATTCGATTAGCCACTACAGATGCAGATACAGCACACTAGACGATGTAGACCATAGATGAAGACAGTAGACGAAGATGGACTGAAGACAATGCTGAAGATAACAAAAATACTAACTTAGAGAGCAGAGTGAAGCGGTGAGGTGTGTCCTGTTTTACTTTTGCGAAATCCCCAACCCCATTTAAAACTTTTGAAAACGTTTTTACTTTGAAAACACAGTCTCCCGATTCGGAACCGGTTTTACTGGTAACCTTGGCTCTGATACCACTTTGTAACACCCGCCTCTCATCATTATAAGACGGCGTGCCATCCACTTAACTTTCTAACCAAGTTACCACTCTTTTAATTTAAAAACCAATACTCATTCATAAATAGAACTCAAATAGTCTTGCAAAACCGACAATCGGTATAGGTAGGAACTACATCTACCGCAACCCCAAACAATCTGATAAGTGGAACTGCATCACTTACAGCCCTCATGTCTAGGTAGGAACTGCATCTACCGTAACACCAACAATCCGACAAGTGGAACTGCATCACTTTCGGCTCCTATGTAATTGTGCTCTTCACACTCTATATGCAATGCAACCCACAATTCTCACAAGCAATCAAACACCAAGCAGCAATCAACAATATTAATCATGGTCCTAGATCTATGTTCAGAAACAAGTAAAAGTAAATCACAACACATAACAAGCAACTACAAGTTACGCCATAAGCGCAACCTGTAGGAGAAAAGGAATTCGCTTATCCTTAACCAGAGACAAGCGCGGAAGATAATACGGAAGGGAAGGCATAGATAATCCTCACCTTTCACGGATTGAATGAACAGCTAAAACAAAGGGGTTAAGGTTTAGAGATCTAACGACATGAAGTAGAAAACGCAAGGAGACGGCAAGACGGCGCAAACAAACGGCGACGGCGGCTTCTCTCCCTCGGTGGTGAGCGGCAACGGCGGAGGTTAGGGTTTAGGGTTTCTATCTTTGAGTGTCCTGTGAATTGTGATGATCAGATTCTTTAACTCTCTTTATATAGTGGAGAGAGAAACTCTAGGGTTAGAATTTTTATAACTTATAGACTTAATGGGCTTTTGGACTTTAAACATTAAAAAAAAAATAACAGACCGGTTTAGCGAAACCGAAATGTTACAATATGTATTAGTGAGCATGGACCACTGGTTGTTTTAAGTGCATTGTTTGGATATGACGCTACCATGTCGTCCCTAGAGTCACATGCCGGTACATGAAATCAAATTGTGAGTAAACGTCAACGTTGACGCGAAGAAGACTTTTATTACTTTCTTCTCTCATTGGACAGTGTAGATTGCTTTTGCATATAAACAAAATATATCATACACGAAACATAGGCTCTGGCTCGGTAAGATTGGTTGGAAAACGGTCCTTGTCTTGCTTCAAACCAACTCGGCCCTCGAAACAGAGGTAGAAGCAATGAAATGGGCTATCTTTTTAGTCCGGAACTTAGGCTGTAAGCGAGTAATATTTAATGTAAAAAACTGTGTTTATGCTTTAGTGATCAGTGATGATATCTATGACCAGGATAAGTTATAAAGGGAGTGGTAGGGAACAATTTAGGGTAGGAGTGGGCAAAAAAGACAAACCGAAGTGAACCAATCCTAATCAACCGAACCCAAACCGAGTCAAACCAAACTAAAGTCTATATCAAAATATTTCGATTAAGATTTCTGTCAACCCGAATGATTCGGTTCGGTTTGGTTTAAAACCAAACCGAACTAAAACCTAATATATTTTCTTAATTAATAATTTATTAATAATTAATGGTATTAATTATTTTTAACAATTAACAGTTTAACACTGTTATTTAAATACTGTCTTTGATTCTCAAATCTCAAAATAAAAATTTAAAACTCATGTTATATATCTAAGCATCTAGGTTTCATTCATAAAGAAAACCGAAGTTCTTTCATCTATTTTCTGCTTGATTCTTCATGGTTTCAAAGTAATAAGTTTTTAATTTTGATATTAACATTATATTATGTTTATATAAGGTTTTGTTTTTCAATCTGATAACCAAATTAAACAAATCCAAATTAATTATAACCGAACCAAACTGAACTGTGTTTAAACCAAACCGAACCGAATTAATTTGGTTGAGTTTGGTTAGAGCTTTAGAAAAACTAAACTAATCAAACCGAAGCGAATCCAAATCGAACCCGAACCGAATCCAAACCAAACCCGAAAATAAACCAGAATGCCCACCGCTTTTAGGGTGCTAAATTGCTGATAATTTATTTAACAATTTTTATTTGTTTCATTAAAACCTGTGAAAACGTGTAAACGGTGAATGTTAATGTTAAAGCAGCTTGTGATGCAGTCTTAAAGTGCAAGAACCTAATTTACAACATATTTTACGTGCCAAGAAACCAAAATATCCAGCATATTGCTATTTTTCTGAAGTGTGAATACTCTTTGTTAGTGAGAGAACGTGGTTTCCTTTTCTAAAACGGTGTAGAAGATTCTCATATGGTTTTACACGTTAATTGCCATAAAAGGAAGAGAAGAAAACAATATCATACCTCCATTAAATATTTTATCTTTTTGGAGATTTGGCGAAGCAATCACACAATGGGCTCCAAGATTATCAATAATTCTATGATCACATTCTTCATAATTGATTTAGCTATTATAATTTAAATATTGTAATTATTAATTCATTAACCTTGTATAAGTTTATAAAAGCTTTCTTTATAATCATTTTGTATATATACAGATTTTAGAATTAAAAGAGAATTCTCTCTAAAACTTATGCTTTGTTTTGTTTTCCTAAGTTAGATGAATTTTTTTACTTAGTAAACTTTTGGATCTATATTTTTTGTATGTGATTTATTGAAATTAGATTTGTGAACTCATTACAAAGGCTTTCACACTTTTGAATATTGTTCTTCAATTCACCAATATCCGTCATCTATCCACTGATTTAGACAAGAAGTGTCATTTGGCCAATTGTCTAAGTTCCATAAACAGTTCCACAGCTCCACCTCGACCAACAATCAACCCAGTGAAAAGTGCCGCTTGGCCAGTCACTTAGTTCCATCAAATTTCATGTAAGGTCTATCCCGGTTCTTACATCAGCAGTGGCTGAGCCAGCTCTTTATCTCTTTATGAGGGGGGTCATTTGACCCATGTGGATTCCTGTAAAAAACAAATTACTTGTATTTTGAAAAGAAAATTTGGTAATTTATTACAAAATTGGCTAATTGACCCATGTAGTATCTTAGTTACACATAACTGACCCCGGTAAAAAATTTGGCTGGCTCCGCCACTGGACATCAGTGTACTTTCTTCGATATCCTGAATGAAAATTCTTGTATTGTGTGTGCTTTTCATCAAGTCATGTTGTTTTGGTAAATTAAATGAAACAAATCAAAAAAAGGATGCAGTAGTAGTGGGTTTATCTTTGCTTCACCTACGGAGTTTTTGCCCATTTCAGATGTGACTTTGTTGTTAGTACTACAAACAACTGTCCTAATCAGAGGTAAACTGTAATTTGTTTTCCCAATTGGCTTGGTATATGAATTGTTTGTACATTAATCTCATGATCTTGGTGATATTTCAAGTTTTTCTTCTACTAGGAATGATTGAGACATTCTGAACTAGAGTACAATTATGTTTGTAAATGGGTTTGCTGAAGACTATGTAGAAGCCACAGACGTCGTGGCCACTGCTAATACCTTGACCTAACATTTGTGGCAGTAAAGCTATAGCAAAGCTTTCCTCGTTACTTCTCTATGCCTTGTAGAGAGAGTCCCCAAAGCCAAGAGAGCACTAAGTTTCAGGAAGTCTATAGAAAATTCAAAAAGACGAAAGAATATTTGTCATTATACACGGTTAGGTAATTGACTTAGATAGCAAAGAGTCTAGAGTCTAGACGGCAAAGAGTCCATGCCATTTTGGAGCTTTCTCTACGTTGTTGTGGGCCTTATTATTATCCCTATTTTTCTTTTTTAAGTTGCAGTAACACCAAATAGTACATGCATCTTTCATTTGCTTCGCCCTTTATATATTCAGTTTCCTGCAAAATTCAAAAAGACGAATGAATTTTTGTCATTTTACACGGTTGACTAATTGACTTTGATAGCAAAGAGTCTAGACGGCAAGATTCCATGCCATTTGGAGCTTTCTCTACGTGGTTGTGGGACTAACTATCCCTATTTTTCTTTTTAAGTTGCAATAACACCAAATAGTAAACGCATCTTATATTCAGTTTCCTGCAAAATTTGAGAGACACAACAAAATATTTTTAAAAAAGAATGCAAATGAGAAGCATGAGACTCTTTATTTTACTTTCATTCAATGCTCTCATGTTGCTTGAAGCATATGGCTTGAACAATGAAACTGATCGGCAGGCATTGCTCGAGTTCAAGTTGGGAGTTTCTGAAGACAAAAGAGTTGTCTTGTCCTCATGGAATAATTCGTTCCATCTGTGCAAGCACAACAGAGTTACTGGTCTAGACCTCGGAAGATTGCAATTAGGAGGAGTGATATCACCATCTGTTGGTAATCTTTCGTTTCTCATGTCACTTGATCTCTCTGAAAACTCTTTTGGTGGAACCATCCCTCAAGAAGTGGGAAACTTGTTTAGACTTGAGTATTTGAATATGAGCTTTAATTTTCTCGAGGGAGAGATTCCAACTAGTTTGTCAAACTGCTCTAGATTGGTGTCCTTTGTTCTATTCTCAAATCATCTTCAAGGAGGAGTTCCTTCAGAACTAGGGTTGTTGACAAAGCTTGGTTATTTATATCTTGGTATAAACAAGCTGAGAGGTAAGCTCCCTGCATCTCTAGGAAACTTGACATCTATAAGATACCTTAACTTTGGAGAAAACAGATTAGAAGGAAGAATTCCAGATGGTATAGGTAGATTCACGCATATAGTGTCACTTGAATTACCAGGAAACAATTTCTCTGGTGGTTTTCCTCCAGCAATCTACAATTTATCCTCGCTTAGGTTTTTAAACATCTTGAATAATGGTTTGGTTGGAAGACTGAGGATGGAATTTGGTAATTTGTTACCAAACCTTCAATTGTTGTCTTTGGGAATGAATCATTTCACAGGAGCCATTCCAACAACACTTGCCAACATCTCGACACTTCAAAAGCTGTCAATAGAGTATAGCAGTCTCAAAGGAAATATTCCTTCAAGCTTTGGAAAAGTAAGGAATTTGCAACTCTTGTCATTTCTTGGTAATTCTTTGGGAAGTCACTCTGTTGGAGATCTTGAGTTTATTAGTGCTCTGACTAATTGCACCCAACTACAAGAGTTAGATGTTGGTGAAAATAAGCTTGGAGGTGACTTGCCTATTTCAATAGCCAATCTGTCAACAAACCTCGGGTATTTAAGCCTTGAAAAAAATCACATCTCTGGAAGCATTCCTCACGACATTGGTAATCTCATAAACCTACAAACACTTTGGTTGTCAACCAATATGTTGACAGGATCGCTCCCAATCTCTCTTTGGAAGCTTTTAGGGTTGGGTTATATGAGTCTCCATTCAAATAGAATGTCTGGAGAGATAACTTCTTCTATAAGCAACATCACTAAGTTGGAAACACTCTATTTATCTAACAATAGTTTTGAAGGGCCCATTCCTCGGAGTCTTGGAAATTGCAGCCATTTGCTCTATTTACTTATTGACTATAATAAGTTGCATGGGACTATACCTAGGGGAATTTTTGAAATCCAATCGCTTATTACTGTAACCATGTCAAATAATTATTTGACTGGCTTTCTACCAAAAAATGTTGGGCGACTTGGAGATCTTCTTTGGATCTTCTTTGCCACAAAGTTTGGGAAAGTGTCTTTCGATGGAAGTTATTAATCTGCAAGGAAATATTTTCAATGGAGCCATTCCAGATATAAGTGATTTGGTGGGTGTAAAAAAGATTGATCTCTCGAGCAACAATTTCTCTGGATGGATTCCTGGATATCTTGCAAACTTTTCTAAGTTGGAGTATCTCAATCTATCTATCAACAATTTCGAGGGAAGAGTGCCGACAGAAGGGAAATTTCAGAATGCTACTATAGTTTCGGTATTTGGAAACAAAGATTTGTGTGGAGGCATCAAGGAGTTGAAACTAAAGCCATGCACTGTGCAAGAAAGTTGTGATCGGGGTCAGTGTAGGCGTAGCTTTGCTTTCGTTGTTGTTCACAGGTATATGTTGGTTCATAAAAAGAAAGAAGAACCATCAGACCCATAACCCAACTCCTTTCAATTTGGGAGGCTTTCATGAACAAATAAGCTATGGAGATCTTCGAAGTGCTACAGATGGTTTCTCTTCGAGTAATTTTCTTGGGTCAGGTAGTTTTGGTACTGTTTTCAAAGCATTTCTCCCTGTACAGAACAAAGTTGTTGCTGTGAAGGTTCTAAACATGCAGAGACAGGGAGCAATGAAGAGCTTTATGGCGGAATGTGAATCATTGAAGGACATCAGGCATCGCAATCTCGTGAAACTGTTGACGGCTTGTTCGAGTATTGATTTCCAAGGAAACGAATTCAGAGCTCTCATCTATGAGTTCATGCCAAATGGAAGCTTGGATATGTGGCTGCATCCAGAGGAAGTGGAAGAGGTTCATAGACAATCAAGAAGAACCTTGACACTTCTTGAAAGGCTTAACATTCCCATAGATGTGGCTTCCGTTTTCGACTATCTTCATGGTCATTGTCATGAACCTATAGCTCATTGTGATCTTAAGCCAAGCAACGTCCTCCTAGATGGTGATCTAACCGCTCATGTCAGCGACTTTGGTCTCGCTCGTCTTCTCTTCAAGTTTGACCAGGAGTCTTTCCTCAACTATTTCAGCTCGGCTGGTGTTAGAGGAACCATTGGTTATGCCGCACCAGGTAAAACTATCACATTTTTTACAATGTTCTATGAAGAAAATCAGTATATTCTTTATTCATTTCAATCTTGTTTTCGTTGTTTTTCTGAATTATGGTTGCAGAATATGGAATGGGAGGACAACCATCAATACATGGTGATATGTATAGCTTTGGGGTTCTTCTTTTGGAAATGTTCACTGGAAAGAGACCAACCCATGAGTTATTTGGAGGAAACTTTACACTACAAAGCTACACCAAGTCAGCTTTGCCAGAGAGAGTATTGGACGTTGCTGATGAATCGATTCTTCAAAATGGTCTCAGAATTGGTTTCCCTGTTGCTGAGTGCTTGACACTGGCTTTGGACGTGGGACTTAGATGTTGTGAAGAAACTCCGACTAACCGTTTGGCAGCGAGTGAAGCTACAAAAGAGTTAATCTCAATCCGAGAGAGGTTCTTTAAAACCAGAAGAAGCGAGACGTTAAAGCGTTTATGGTTTTCTCTAAAAACTTTGCATCCGATTTAAAAGACTTAACATGAGGCCGATATGGTATTGTTTTTCATAATCTGTGGTTTTTACTCTATCAAACATAATTATGCTTGCAAAATATTGTTAAGTGAATGATACGTTGTTTGTAGACAATATATGAATGTTGTGTGTTACCAGCTATATATAATTGCTAATCTTCATTGTTATTTTATTTAGTTTTTGGTAATCCAAAATTCTGGTTTTTTTTTTCTGTTTTATGTTTTTTTTTCGTAATGAGCAATATGATCAAGATAAGTTTTAAAGAGAGTAGTAGGAAACATTTTAGTGTCTTAATAATTGATTTATTTGTTTCAGTGAAACCTGAAAAGTTTTCAAACAGAGCTTTTAGGTTGTGTACTTTTTCTTCTCGATCTAATTGAATTAACTAGGCAGTACGAACGGTGAGTTAAAGCAACTTGTACATCAGTGTGATTTGACAAATATCTAAATGGACTTTGTAATGTGTGTGCTTTTCAGCAAATCATGTTGTTTATGGTGTTTGTAGGAAAATAAACAAAAACAAATCAGTAAACGAAGTTGTAACGATATTGCTTCAGCTGTGCCTTTATTGTTTTTTTTTTTTTTTTTAAGAAAAAGACTTTCAAAATGGGCTAATAGAAAAGTAAAAAAGGAATAAACATTGCCCGGGTTCGAACCGGGGACTTCTAGTGTGTGAGACTAGCGTGATAACCAACTACACCACCCAGACTATGCTGTTCCTTTGTTGTTGCTGCTACAAATTGTAATGTTTTTCCAATTTGAACTCAGTCCAATAAGCACGGTGAGGAATCAAGAGGTTCGCTCTATGAAAATGTTTGTACATTACTTTACTGTCTTAGTAATATTTCATGTTTTCTTTTCATCGGAATGATTGAGACATTCTACTTGTAAATGGGTTTGTTGAAGACTATGTATAAGCAATTTGGTATATGTCGAAACCATCGATGGAAATTAAGAGAAGTTATGATAAGATATACATAATTTAGACAACAAGTGGCTTCTCTTCAACCAGTTTTATTGGCTCACCACTAATTTTGGTGCTGTGTTTATAGTTTATTGGTCTATCATGCCTCCTCTATCATAAACTAATGACTGCTTTGTGTGATGGTAATATTTCACGTTTGTGTTTAAGCTGGTTTAGATGGGTACACAAAACCAAGAAAGAAAACTCTTTAGCCCAGAGAGCACTAAGTTAATTGTCCCGTCATGGGAAAAATTAGGGATGGGTAAAATATCCGTTATATCTGCTTTGAACCGATATTTGCTTCGATTCGATTCGAGAAATCCGGATATCTGTAAAGCTTCGAAGCAAAGCAAATAGCAAAATGTAGTATCCGTACAAAACGGAGCAAATCACAAATATGTTTTTAGACAATGTCAGATATCCGATCTGATCCGTATCTTTATAAATATATTATATATTAGTATATATTATCATGTATATATCAATTATATTATAAATTTTTATTAATATACTCTCAATTATCTTTCTAAATTTTCAATTATTTTTTTGATTATATAAAATAAATGACTAAATAACCAATCATAAAAAATAAATAATATGTTTAAATTTAAAATATGTTAACAGATAATATTTTATTTTATATTAGTAAATAAATATCAACAAAAGTTTTTTTTATTAAAGTTAAATATTAAAGTTTCAAATAGTTAGTATTATTTTAAAATATAAAATATCATATTTTTCTTCATCTTAATTTTGTAGGTATATTTTTATAAAATAAAATGTTTTCTTTTAGTTATTTTCACTTAATAGTTAAGATAAAAAATATTTTTTTATAATAAAAATTAATGTATTTTCAGTTTTGTGTAAATTAAACGGATCAAACTAAATATTGATAAATATCCGTAAATATCTGCAAATACTTGTAAATTTTTGGAATATTCGAAAATCCGGATATCCGTATATTTTCGGAGCAAATCAAATCATAAAATTAAATATCCGTTAAAAACGGAGCAAACCACAAATACTAAAAAAAATTTGGATATCCAATCCCCGCCCACCCCTAGGAAAAATAATGTAGCCACCACCACATGATGTCTGAAAAAAAGTCAAAAAGACTAATGAGTTATTGTATTTTTGTCATTTTAGACGGTTGACTAATTGACTTCGATAGCAAAAGTCTGGACGGCAAGAATCCAATCCTATTTTTTCTTTAAATTGCAGCAACACCACAAGGTAAATGCATCATGCATTTGCTTCGTCCTTTATATTCAGTTTCCTGCAAAATATGAGAAACACCATAAATACTTTAACAAAATAATACAAATGAGAAGCATCATGAAACTATTTATTTTACTTTCTTTCAATGCTCTCATGTTACTTGAAGCATACGGTTTCACCGACGAGACTGATCGGCAAGCGTTGCTTGAGTTCAAGTCTGGAGTTTCTGAAGGAAAAAGAGTTGTCTTGTCCTCGTGGAATCATTCATACCCTCTTTGCAATTGGAAAGGGGTTACATGTGGTCGCAAACACAAAAGAGTTACTGGTCTGGACCTCGGAAGATTGCAATTAGGCGGAGTGATATCACCATCTATTGGTAATCTTTCGTTTCTCATGTCACTTGATCTCTCTGATAACTCTTTTGGTGGAACCATCCCTCAAGAAGTTGGAAACTTGTTTAGACTTGAGTACTTGAATATGAGCTTTAATATTCTCGGAGGAGTGGTTCCACTCAGTCTATTTAATTGCTCTAGATTGATGGACCTTGAGTTAGACTCAAATTATCTCGAAGGAACTGTTCCTTTGGAAATAGGATCATTAACAAGGCTTCTTTATTTATTTCTTGGTCAAAACAAGCTAAAAGGAAAGCTCCCTGCATCTCTAGGAAACTTGACATCACTCATGCAAGTTAGCTTTACAAGTAACGAATTGTCCCAAATTGTTTTTCTTTCGTTATCTCTGAACAGCTTCTCAGGCGTTTTTCCTCCTTCCATTTACAATTTGTCTTCACTTGAGATGTTAAACATCTTTGGTAATAGCTTTTCGGGTAGCCTAAGACCTGATTTTGGTATTTTGCTGCCAAACCTTATAGAGCTATATATGGGAAATAGCCATTTCGCAGGAGCCATTCCCACAACACTTTCTAATATCTCTACTCTTGAAACGTTGGGAAACGAGTATAACAATCTGATAGGAAGCATTCCTCCGAGCTTTGGGAAAGTACAAAATTCGGAAGTCTTATTACTTCATGGTAATTCTCTTGGAAACTACTCTTTTGGAGATCTTGGTTTCATTGATGCCTTGTCCAATTGCACACAACTACGTATCTTAAGTGTTGGTTTCAATAAGCTTGGGGTGACTTGCCTACCTACATTGATAATTTGTCCACAAGCCTTGCCGAGTTAAAGCTACAAATGAATCTTATCTCCGGAAGCATTTCTCATGACATTGGGAATCTCGTAAACCTACAAAAACTTGTCTTGTTTGAAAACATGTTGACAGGACCACTCCCAACCTCTATTAGGAAGCTTTTAGGATTGGGATATCTAAGTCTAGATTCAAATAGAATGTCAGGAGAGATACCTTATTCTATAGGCAACATCACTCAGTTAGAAACACTCTATTTGTCCAACAATAGTTTTACGAGACCTATTCCTCCCAGTCTTGAAAATTGTAGTTATCTACTCTATTTATATATTGGATCTAATAAGTTGAACGGAACTATACCTAGGGAAATTATGAAAATCCCGTCCCTTGTACACATAATCATGGAAGATAATTCTCTGACTGGCTCTTTACCAGAAGATGTTGGAGGATTACAAAAGCTTGTTGTATTATCACTTGGGAATACTAACTTATCGGGACAACTTCCACAAACCTTGGGAAAATGCCTCTCGATGGAAGAATTTTATCTGCAAGAAAATTCTTTTGAAGAAACCATTCCAGATATAAGAGGATTGGTGGGTGTTAGAAGAGTTGATTTGTCGAAAAATAATCTCACCGGAAGTATACCTGAATATCTTGCAAATTTTTCCAAGTTGGAGTTTTTCAATCTATCCAACAACAATTTCCAAGGAAAGGTGCCAACAGAAGGAAAATTCCAGAACTATAGTATAGTTTTGGTATATGGAAACAAAAATTTATGCGGAGACATCAAAGAACTGAACTAAACCCATGCCTTGCGCAAGAAGCAAAAATGGAGAGCAAGCATTCCTCTCTTTTGAAGAAAGTTGTGATCGGGGTTAGCATAGGCATGACTTTGCTTTTGCTATTGTTCATAGCTTTAGTCTCTTTACACCAGTTCAGAAAAAGATAGAAGAAGCATCAGACCAATAATACAACTCCTTCTTCGTTGGAGGTCTTCCATGAGAAGATAAGTTATGGAGATCTTCTCAATGCGACAGATGGGTTCTCTTCAAGCAATATGATTGGATCAGGCAGTTTTGGTACTGTGTTTAAAGCATTGTTTCCCCCAGAGACGAAAGTTGTTGCAGTCAAAGTTCTCAACATGCAGAGACATGGAGCAATGAAGAGCTTTATGGCAGAGTGTGAATCCTTGAAAGACATAAGACATCGTAATCTTGTGAAACTTTTGATGGCTTGTTCGAGTATTGGTTTTCAAGGAAACGAATTTAGAGCTCTCATCTTTGAGTTTATGCCTAATGGAAGCCTTGATATGTGGTTGCACTAAGAGGAAGTGGAAGAGATTCGTAGGCCCTCAAGAACTTTGACATTTCTTGAAAAGCTCAACATAGCAATAGATGTGGCTTCTGTTATGGAATATCTTCATATTCATTGCCATGAACCTATAGCTCATTGTGATCTTAAGCCAAGCAATGTACTTCTAGACGATGATCTAACTGCCCATGTTAGTGATTTTGGTCTCGCTCGGCTCCTCCTAAAATTTGACCAAGAGTCCTTCCTTAATCACCTAAGCTCGACCGGAGTCAGAGGAACTATCGGCTATGCCGCACCAGGTAAAATAAAACTATCACATATCTGAAATGTTTGAATAAATAGAATTAGTGTATTCGTTTCTTTTTTTATTACAATCTTGTTAATATGGTGCAGAATATGGAATGGGAGGACGACCATCAATACATGGTGATGTGTATAGCTTTGGGGTTCTCCTTTTGGAAATGTTTACTGGAAAGCGACCAACCAATGAGTTATTTGGAGGAAACTTTACACTACACACCTACATTGCGTCAGCTTTGCCAGAGAGAGTATTGGACGTTGTAGATGAGTCGATTCTTCACAATGGTCTCAAAGTTGGATTCCCTCTTGCTGAGTGTTTGACATTGGTTTTGGATGTGGGACTTAGGTGTTGTGGAGAATCTCCTATGAAGCGGTTGGCAATGAGTGAAGCTGTGAAAGAATTAAACTCAATCAAGGAAAGGTTTTTCATAGCAAAAAGAGCAGCTAGACGTTGAAGTGTTTAGACGTTTTCCAATAAACTTTGTAACCTACGAATTACAGGGTATATCATTTTACCTATGTTTTCAGAATATTGTCATGCTTATTTTCATACAAATTAAAGATGGATATTTTTGTTTCCAATTTCCAAGTTTGTTTAGAAGTTCTCACTTCTCAGCTTCTAAGTTTTATAATCCAAAGCTTTAGTTCTTTTTCTTTCAATTTTGTTTATGTGTTTTTAAATAAAAATATTGGGTGATTAAGGTAAATTTGTTTCCTAAATTTACTGAGCTATGAGGTTCTATTATTTGATTTTTCTAGGACCATTAGTGGCGGCTGTTCGGTTATTTTCGGTACTGCTTTCAGAAAATCAACAATCTAAAAAGAACCGAGTATTTTCAATCATTTATATACAAATAACTTATATGGGAAAAAAAATGAATTGAAAGAAAAGAAGCTTTGGAATCGTTTGAAAACATACCATATAAAGTTTTATAACAGTAAATTACATACCTGAGACAGTAATGGGCTTGAAAAATAATCTCATCATATTCAAGCATTGTTCCCTGCAAGTATTTGTTGAGCTTGGCCCATGTCTCAAACTTTGTAGAAGACATCGATTTATAAACATTGATAAAGTGACATGAATATGTATAAACAAATGAGCCACAATATATAACAACGTTACATTAATAAAAATGATGTCCACTTTTGAGTTTCTACTACATGATAGAATATATCAGCTCCACGTCAACAAACAGGAAGAAAAACAAAAATTAAAGATAACATCTCCACATTGAAAAAGAAAGAGAGAGAACCGTGTTAAAGTTAAGTACTTAAGACTCCAAAACCCCTAATTACTGCAATATGAAACATAATTAAGGATTAAAACAAAACTAAAGAGTACTAATTATACAATTTGTTTATAGCTTAGCCTCCTCCTCCGTCAAGTAAATCGTCAAACTTTTTTTCTTCCTAGAACAACACTTCTTGACCTTCTAATAATGACATGTTGTTATTAGTGATCATGTCGTGGCTTTGCTCATCAAAGAGCCATTTCTCAAACAACGAAAGAGACCCTTGTGTAATTAGACCATTAATGTCATGGTCTATTAGCTTGGGCTTGTCTTCAACTTCATCCATGGAGTTGAAGTTGAATAGAGTCTGATCAAACCCTTCTCCGCCTTCTTCAGTCGTGCTAGGGCTCGAAGCCGCCGTGGTGGTAGCCCTCTCGGTGGCTGCAACTGGCGAGGGCAACAAGGTCGTCTTTGGTGTGTCTTTCATGAAGTTCTGAAGCAAACGAGCAATATTCTCGGCGCTTGAAGCGTAGACACCAGATGGGTATGGATTAGTGTTGCTTGTGGTGGTGGTGGTGGTGGTGGTAGAGGAAGAAGAAGATGATGAACCATAACCAAGATCGGCAATAGAGAAATTAGTAGGGTTTTGTGGTTTGTCAAGAGACAAGGCATCACAAAGAGCTTGTTTAGCCATGTTTATATCTGTCTGAAGCCTTCTCTCCCATTGACCTTTGTTGGAGCCGCTGTTTTGACGTGAACTAGTGTTTTTGTTTGATGAAGACAAGTCTTTATTATCGACTCCATTATTGATAGTACTATCACAAGAATCATTCATCTTCTTGAGCTTTTTCTTCAAATGTGTGTTCCAATAGTTCTTTATATCATTGTCTGTCCTTTCTGGAAGGTAAGATGCAATAGCTGCCCACCTTCAAATTTATTTGGTCCCCAAGTTATTAAAAGTTTACAAGCCTTATCTCTTAAAAACAAAAATTGCTACTTTTGTAGTAGATCATGTGCATGTGAATATGTATGTTACCTGTTGCCCAAAAGGGCTTGGAGATGGAGAATCATCTTCTCTTCATGCTCGGTGAAATTTCCACGCTTAATCCCAGGTCTAAGGTAATTAGTCCACCTCAATCTACAGCTTTTACTACATCTCCTCAGACCTAAACAACCATCACAACAATCAAAACTTAAATTAATTAATTTGATATGCATGTGTGGACAAAAAAGCCGGTGCGATAAATCGGACATTTATTACAAGTTTTCTTTTTCTTTAATGTTCATACCAACCAAGTTAGAAGCCAGAACAAAAGAATCACAAACCCAAGAAAAAACAAAAAACATTAAAGGGTACTTCTTAAGAGTAAGGATTACAAAATTGAAACTAAAATATTATTTTTATCAAGAAAAAATTATTAAAGTTAGAATAAGATACCTGTGTGAGTAGGCACAGATCTCCAGTTTCCAGGGCCATGTTCTTGAATGTAAGAAACCAAGATTATGTCTTCTTCTGGTGTCCATGGCCCTTTCTTCACTCCAATCTTGTCACAGCATGGTGGTCTTCCCATCACACTCTCCTATATATTTCTCTGTGTTTTTAGGGGAAGAAAGGAATAGTTTCTGCTATGAGTTAGAGAGAAGGGTTTTGATGATGATCATATATAGAAGAAAGAAAAACTTAAACCTTTGAAGCTTTTTTTTTTTGCTTGGAAGCTTATTAAATTGTAGGGTTAAGAGTACTTAAAAGTTAAAACAAAGGGGTACAAGTGGTAGTTAGCTTTTGTCTGAGGATATGGAGAGAGAGCTTGCTTTATATTTATAGCGAGAGAGGGAGAGAGAGAGATGCTGATAAGCTGTTGAGTAAATTAGTAGCAATAATAATAGAGTTAAAAAGTAATAATGAAGAGTGGGGTTTTGCTTTCAAAGAGTCAACATGGACAGCAAAATGCATTTACTCTCTTGCTCTCCAAAGTCAGCCCTCTCTCTCTATCTATCTCCTCCACCATTACTCCTTGCTTTCTCTCTCTAATTAGTCCTTTCATATTATCGCTAACCCGTAATTTGTCTTTTCATTTGAACATATATGTTCAATCTGATTGGGTGTAGACTTCACATACTTAAATTGCATTTATGAGAGTGAAATGTCTATATATTGATGTAAAACCTTCTAATTCGTTATTCGGGAAATTAAGCAGACATAAACTAACTTTTAATAAGGACGTACACTTTTGATGTGAAGTTGTAAATTTTGTTTTCACATGCATGCATAAATATGTGGCATGATTAAATAATGTCATTTTTACACAAAATGACTCGACTGATTTTACATACTATTTTCTAGTAATTGAGTGCTATGAACCGGAATTTAAACGAATTATCTCTCTTGAGCTCTAGCTATTGTATGAGTTATGCAGTTAAACCGCGGCAAACAAAACCATCCACCCTTAGTATTAATCAAATATCGACACCAACCCCAAAAAAAACACCAGATAAGTAGTCAAACATGTGAAAAATGTTCATTAGTGCCACTGGTGTGAGCTTTTGTAGGTATTGAATTGAACGGTAGATAAAATATTAACTGTAACACATATCCCCACTTACCTAACAAAGAAAATGGCCACACATATAGATCCTTTTGTGATGTTGGACTTGTTTGGTCATATTAAGATCGATAGAAATTTTGATAATATAATAAGGATTGTCTTTTTTACCGCAGTCAGGGTTGGTTTTAAAATCACTTTGATGAATTCAAAATTTTACAAGAAACGAAAGGAATGTTGCGGAGCATCGTCGTTGTGTATTGCGCAAATTGGATTGGAAATAATATGATACTTTTTTGCGTGTCGTAGGAAATAATATGGATACTTATCTAAATGATACTACTACAGAATATAAAATACAAAATTAAATACGAAAATACAATAGATTCAAATTCATTGAACAAAATAAGTTGAAACCCCATACGCCACGTCCTTTTTAGTATACCTAACCCATATCCCGATGATGATGGTATTAAAAGTTTACTTTGACTAAAATCACACATACACCTACGAATAATCTGTTTTTTTGTATAAGTTAAATTATACTCCATCTATTCCATTCTACAAATTTTAAAATTTTAGGTTTTAAACCAAATCCTCATATAATAATTAGGTAAAAACACAATTTACCCAAACATAAAGGTGACTGTAAAATTTAAGCAGTTAAAAATACCAAATAATATTAAAATTTGCATATACACTTGTCAAATATCTTATAAAAAATGAATAAAAAAATTTTGTCTTAAACACTTGTATTATGCCATATAAAAATTGATTATTATTTTTTCAAAATTATATTCACGTTGTTGGTATCTTCTATTATAAAACAATCATCAATCCATTATCAATATATATCATTGTAGCGGAAACTTCTAAATATAGAATTTGTAATCCCTATGAAAAATACGAAAAAAAAGTAACGCAAGATTAAATGACATGAATAAGCATCAACGTCGGTCTGCAATTGAAATACTCAATCATAATCCCAAAAAAAAAAAGATAATCTAAGTAAATTAAAAACAACATCAATAGAGCATTGACGAGTGGGACTATGCTCCATCAATGGAGCATTGGTGTCGAGATGAAATCGGTGGGGTTATGCTCGCTATCACCGACGAATACTTCAAACAAAATAAAAACTGTTTTTGGGCTATGCCGATGCAGCCGACTGATGCGAGCTACGTGATCTGTTTTGTGTCGTCCACTCCATTTTTACAAGGCACACTTACAAAAATTCAAAGATTCTAAAACACAACTAATAAAACACCTAAAAATATCCATCCATAAAAGTAAACGACTGAAACAGATGGAAAGGAGACCCAAAAAAAAACAGAACATATCAAATAATTAAAAAAAATAAAACTATCTTTATGACCGTTTCATCATTTTTTTTTTAAAAAACCCAGCTTCATGCGGTTTAAAAAAAAAAAAAAACGTTCATCTTCTGTTCTATAAATCTTGGGTACCGAAAGATTCTAGTATATTCAATGAGCTTAAATTTAATGAAGCTAAATCTAATAGGATGATCTGGATCACGATATATATGACATTGATTCACAAAATTGATAATGCATATTCACAATATGGTTATGCGGCTAAGGTAAAGAGGTATTATGGTGAGAGAAAACATACCACAAAGACTTTTAATCAAAGTTATAAATGTAATTTAGTACTTTCAACGTGATCAAAGTATATAATACAAAAAATGTTATTTATATAGGGAAATTGAATTCTTTTTCTTTTTTGACAACAGGTAAATTGAATTCAAATATATTCCTCCTTATGTTTATAGTGTCGTTTGTTTTTTTACATCTGTACACATATTAGAGATTATTCAAATTTGCCAATGTCTTTATTTTAAATGATATTAATTAAACAGTGTGATATAAACGATCAGAAGTTATTTGTTTTGATAAAATGGTATTACTATATTTGTTGGGAAAAGTCATTTTATAACATTTTAAAAAAGTAATTAAAACTGTAAACTGTATCTTTTGTAAAACGGATGTAGTATATGTTAGTTTAAAACAATTATACAGCGGTTTACTTTAATTCTTTAGTTTATTGGTCAGTGTACATAAATTTTCAGAGTTCCAAAAAAATCAAATCACCCATAATTTTCATAAATTGTGGTAATATATACTTATCATAAGTAATATTTTGACTTAACTGTCTATTAGTGTATACAATATAATAGTACTTTTTTGCATCTTAAAGGTCTAGCTAGGTAGGGTTTCGTTTGTTTCTTTCGATCAAAACTGTAAGTCCTCCGATGTTTCCTACAATTTCTACTTTCTAGGAGAAATATATTTACGAGTGAGTGTCTAAGTCAACGACTATTGTCGTCGTTTGTATCTCGACGTGCTTTGGATCATATCTTAATTTATACGATTTCCAATTAAATAATTGGTAGGTTAAACGTAGGCTTAATTTTTTACCCCCACCCAAACGGTTAAATAGGAAGGAGCACGTGTCACATTCTGCTAAAAATAATACAAGCTGCAGTAAAATAATAATCAAGTAAGAGTAATTAATGGACCCATCATTAAATGATAGAATGACATAGAAGTATGTAGTATGTACATAACCATATATCTCAGTGAATTTTCTTTGGTAAATCTTATGAGTAATTTGGGTAGAGTTTGACAAATTTACTAAATTCGAGATGAAGTCGAACAAAATATTACTTTATTTGTTTCATAATATAAATTGTTTTACAAATATATTTATTTGTTTCAAATGGACTCATAAGATAACTCGAATTGACTCATAATTAAGACCACATAGTCAGTACCATCAATTGTTGCACGAGAAACGATTAGCGTCTTCGCTAATGTTCAAATCAGAACAATCTTCAACGCAATTCTCCATGTTATAATGCCACTCAACGCAAGGAGCAGACCAATGTTAGTTATTTAAGGAAAACGTTTAGATATGTATGTATTTGTTCAATCCAACTTGCTCTCTCTCTCTCTCTCTCTCTCTCTCTCTCTCTCTCTCTCTCTCTCTCTCTCTCTCTCTCTCTCTCTCTCACATTTGAGATAGTTTTAAGTCAAAATCATTAAAACGCAAGATATGTAGGATCTTTTACCTTAATCCACTTTAGACGCCTAGAGCTAGTTAATTTACATGCTATACATATAAAAATTATAATGAACTATAACTAGAGGTTTTAAATTCCGGGTTATATACTAGGTAAAGCTATTAAATGTAGACTTAACATTGTGATTGGAGACTTGGCAAACACTTTCTTCCGGAATCTAGTGAGCTGTTTCTTCTAGCCCACTTGCTAATGAAAATTTATTTTTGTAAAATATTGCATATTGTTACAAAGATTATAAAATATTGCATATTGTTACAAAGATTATAAACTATTCAATCCATGTAATTTCGAATATTTACTGACTTACTCAATTCGTTAGCAACTTAGCATTGGTGCGTCACGTTTATATTTTCACTTACGTCCATACAAACAAAGGCGTGTCTCCGTGAAATAGAATTAAAACTCACTCGAGAAAAAAATATTTAAGTTTGTGATGAATCTTTGATGATTGATGTTTAAATAATGTAAGATATACCATATTGGAAATAAGATATGAATCTTTAATAATATTAGGATATATAATAATTATATATTAATAATTGGTTTTAAATTGTAAACACCCATTTCTAGCTGCACCACACATCAATCATTTTACATATACACTCTCATTTTGAAGACTTTCTGAATATCTTCCTCGTACTTAAACAACAATTGGAAACGATCTTTGGAGAGGGCAACTCCCATGACCCTTTCGTACAGATTAAAAGCTCTTGAAATATCCCAGATAAAGTTCTTCATAATTTAATTTTCTGGATTAAACATATGTTCCATGAATGATGCTCATGATATTTTTTTAATCACTGATAAACGACCAATTAAAGGATTTTGAATATTGAAGATCTTCCATTTAGTTTAAGGACTCTATCCAAATATGGACTATAGCTCCACCAGTTAGGAATCTGATGTTTTACGGTTTTAGATCTATTTTAATTGTTAAATTAGTAACTATAGTCAGAAATGTGAATTTGTATTTGAAAAATGAAGACTATAAATGGGAGATTTTTTGAATTTAGCGTGAATTACCAAAAATTTGGAACCAAGTTTATTCTTTTATTCGAAATAAATTCATAGACGGCAAATCTGTCTTTGTTGGTTAGCAAACTAATTATCGTTTGATCGAATATCACTGATATCACATAATATTAGACATTTTATTGTTTACGAGTGTTTAAAAAAACACTTGATTCCGTAAATAGATTATATATCTCATTTAAACAAAACAGTCTAAAATAGAATCAGTTATTTTTGATATTAAAAATAAAAAAACACGTTTTTGTTGGATAATTCCAATAACTTAGGCTAGAAGTTATCTCTTAAAGAGTAGCTTAAAAAAATTAAAATATCAAATATCAAATAAAGAAAAGATGAGATTTGTATTTTCTAATAGATTAAGGAGTAACTTAAGACTATAAATAAGCGATTATAGAGAGATGTTCTATAAAATTCAAGAGAAGTTTAGTTTTAAGAAATTTCTAAATCTAATAAGAAGAGCAGTTCTTATACTTTCTTATGTTTGACACACTCTATCGACTTGAGTCTTTAAACTCATCATTTGGGTATGGTTCGAAGTTCAAACAGAACTATAGAAAGATTGTTTGCACCTTCTCTCAAATTTATTTCATTTGTTTTCTTTAAACAATCCATTCGCTTGTTGTTTTCCAATAGTTCACACTAATTCACAGAAAATTTCTAATATCCGTTTTCTAAAGCAATAAATTTAACTATATATGTATATTTTATAAAGTAATAATTAGAATAAGATAAACGAAATTGCCACGTCAAAATAAGCAATTGTCGTAATACATTGATGTGAAAGCATATAGGCGTGTACGGCCAAGATGCAACCACATAAACTCTCACCGGATATAGAAAGCGACGGTTTCGGACAAGACACAGGCAACGAATATCAATCAAGTAAGCAAGCCACACTTTTCTTTCCTTTGTTGGGTATGTTTATAGGTCCCACTTGAAAAAGCAATATTTTATCGTATAGCTCGTAAGTGGTCCCGACATCAGCTGTCACGTGTCGCTATCTGATTACTTGGACGATTCTATTCTCACGCCTCTCGCATCGTGACCGTTGATACGTGTCGACGGGAAAGAAAAGAAGATTTGAATATGATCTCGATATTTCAATAGAAGAGGAGGAACTTTGGATTTTTGCATATGCATGGGCCGTGTACATTGCTACTATTACTTTGCATATTTTGGTTCATACATATATGCACCGAACCTGCAAATTATTGGTCGCTTTACTCATTTCGTATACCATGATGGCGTGATGTTGACACGTGTTATAGTTCTTCGACGTGACATGGTCCCAGAGGGTTTGACCACTTTGCACTTAACATGATCGGTGTGACGGTGTCTGTAAGTCAATTTTCATTGGACTTGTACACATTTTGATTAACGACATCTTCAAGACTTGATATCGTTTATTCCTCGATTTGTAAATATCTAAAATATCAATTCAGGGAATTGAATTGTAGCTTTGTATCGGTATTTTGGCAGCTAATTCGGTGATGATAAATGATATAAATCATTTGGCATATCATGCATCGTTGACAAAAAAAGTAAGAAAAATATACCATGCATCAGAACATTCATGCCAAAAAGTAATTAATCAACTCTCTGTTACCAAAACATAAATAAGTTTTATAACCTATCATTATTAGAAAGAATTGCAACAATATGTAAATACATATATAGTTCTAATAAAAAAGAATTAGTTTTTCGCAAATTACGTAGGAAAGTTCCTAAATAAGGTTTGTCGGACACAAGCAATGCGAGATTGGGAATGAGGTTTCTCCACTAATCATCAGATCATAGTGGGAGTTTGGGACCATAGCATGGGCCACGGCTTATACATATATATACAAAATTTGTTATTTCCGTATTTATTTATTTATTTATAGAAAAGAAGTTAATTTCGTTACTTATTTTTGCCCGCTTCATAAAAGCTTTGCCAACCTTATATGTTAATGAAGAGGACGGTACTTGTAAAATTTGTATAACTTGCTACCATGACTACAATTTTTAATCAAATAAACTAAACGGTAAAAAAATTACTTTACAAAAATTATTTCAGTATGTATCTTATTGTCGTCTACAACTCATATTATCGAGTTTGAATAATTTATGGTAAAAAGATGACGTAACTATTATAAACCATTAAACTACGAGCCTCGATCGTATATCAATATCAAATATGTTTATGAGGTAATTTTTTGTAGGATAGAAGATATCATAAATTATATGATTGTAAGAATGTATATTGGAAATATTCGGGGTAGGGTATAAATTTATAATTCATGCCACAAAAATTCAAGCTAATATTGCTATACTCAAGTATAGTGTAGAGATGTTACATTCAAGCTAATAATGTTTCTGATCCAAGACTTAATTAAAACTAAGAGGATATATCTATATATAGGCTATTTCGGTATTCACCATCTATCCTAATATATGGATAAAGTAGTGATGTTCATCAAATCAAATCACACTAAAGCTTACTTTGGGAATGAAATGATTAAAGTTTATGTCCAGTGACATTAGCTTAACCGAATAGGAGTCCCAAATGTTAGTAAGAGGATCCCGGTCTTTCAATTCAACCGTGAAATCGAAAGAAGAAAACCGGGTTTGATATACATTATTTGGGCCGAGCTTGTGTAATACCAAACTCAACACAAATGGGCCTAATTGGTAGTGGATGATTTTTTAATTATTTCATGTGTAAAGTAAATATTTTCCTTTTGCATTCTCATATTTTTTTGATTAAGGAGCAATCGTCGTTTCGAGGAGACTATAGGAGAAGAAGATGGGAACGGCGGTGGGGCAGTGGCTAGAGGAAGCGTTGCTTGATCTCTGCCGGAAACCAGAAACCGGTTTGAATTTCGATCGTGATGTCATCTCCGGTCTAGTCTCCTATTGCGATCTCGCTCAACCTGTCGATGCGAAGGAGTATCTCGACGTAATCCTCCTCTCTCTCCTTCTTCTCCTCATCATCTTCTCGTAAAATTTTGAATCACCGAGTCTCGTTTGATGCTTTTGCTCTATGGTTTTTCTGATTCTGATTTTGGTCAGTGATTTAAGATAATGGAACTGGTTTAGTGTTGTAGGTGATAATTGATTTCAATTTGATAGAGGGTTCATAGAATTAAGCTTTTTGAATCATTGAAGAACTGATTTTCTGTAGATAAGGTCGTGAAATTTAATTTTATATGGTTTTAGACTCTTAGTACGAATCAGAGAAGAATATAGTTCATGGAATCGCTTGGAGATGTCTTCAAGAGTCAATGTCACCGAGTTAGTTTCTCAACGAGACTATACGTGTTACTGATCCTTAGCTAAAGTTGTGTAGGCACTAAAGATTAGATGAGCTTGTTCACCATAAACATACATTGTTTAAAACTTTTGGTATCGTTACTAGCTTCACATGTCTTGAACACCATTCTTGCAGCTACTTAGGTCAAGGGGTCAAGCTAAGCTAGTGTTGATATGATTTGCAGCTGCCTTGTTCTTGAAATAATTCGACTCTGCAGTCATTATTTGAATAGAAATAAAAACAGGAATGTATTTACTTGAGGGCTTGAGTGAGTAAAAGAAGTTATCTAGTCCCAGAGTAAGTAAGACTGACTGATTCTGTTGATTCCTTTATTCCAGAACATTATCGGAAAAGAAGGCAATAGCATCATTGCAGAATATCTTCAGCGAAGAGGATACAAAGATCCATCTAGTAGCCATGTAGCAACCAGTTCAGGTCCAGAACTGCAGATGTACGTGAAGCCAAAAGTGGATAATGGTGCTTCTTTTGGAACCAAGAAACCGGTTAAAACACAGAAAGAGGGAACATCTTCTAATCAGCAAGCTGGAACTTCGAAAGCAGCAGCTTCCGTCAATCCCAAGAAGAAAAAGGGTGGGAAAGTGATTTCTCTAGCAGAGGCAGCTAAAGGATCGATAGTGTTTCAGCAAGGGAAACCATGCGCATGCCAAGCTCGTAGACACAAACTAGTGAGCAACTGCTTGTCCTGTGGTAAAATAGTGTGTGAACAAGAAGGAGAAGGGCCTTGCAGTTTCTGTGGAGCACTTGTGCTAAAAGAAGGAAGTACATATGCTGGGCTAGAGGCAGGGCTTACTCCAGTATCCGATGCTGATGTCGCAGCTGAAGCTTATGCGAAAAGGCTTGTAGAGTATGATCGAAACTCGGCCGCACGCACAACGGTTATTGATGACCAGAGTGATTACTTTGAGAGTGAGGGTAGTACTTGGCTCTCTGGGGAGGTATGTGTATATCTATTGGTAAACAACACTCAAGTCGCTGTTTCTCCCATTGACCTAATATGTTTTGGGATTTGTTCTCAGGAAAAAGAGCTTTTGAGGAAGAAGCGTGAGGAGATTGAAGAAGCTGAACGAGCCAAAAAGAGCAAAGTGGTTATGACATTTGATTTAGTCGGCCGTAAGGTGACTCTCAAAGTTGCTATATCCATATCATTTCTGCTTATAGAAAGGATTCATTAGTAATGATTAATGATTTGATGATGACACACAGGTACTGTTAAACGAAGACGATGTCCCAGAGCTAGAGTTAGGGAACAGGATTCTGGGGCCACCTGAGACTAAAAACGTGAACAGAATCAAACCGAACCCAACTTCAAAACTCATTCCAATCTTCTTAGATCCTGGACCAACCGAGAAGAATCCGAACAACAGCAGCTCCTCCAAGAGAGACAACAAGAAAAACCGGAACGGGTTGTGTCTGGAGATCACTGGAAGGGTACAACATGACAGGAGTGAGCTTAAGTACTTACAAGCCGATCCATCATCAGTAATCGATGGGCTTCACGTAGAAGATGGTGGTGAATGCTCCTTAGATTACGATTGAAAATTTTCAAGTCATTTGGACTTTTGGAGAATGAACCATACAGGTTAAACCTGTCTTTACGTTTTTTTTTTTGTAAAATCTTGGTATAGAGGAAACCAGGTTTAAGGTTTCCGGTTAAGCAAACCAGATACTTTTTTCTTCACTTTTAAAAGTCAACAATGTTTCTCTAGTTGAGTCCACGTTGGATGAATCATGGTTGATACGCCGTCGGTCAAGGATCACGTGTTCGGAAGTTTGGGTTTCTCATGTGCTTACGTGGCGTTACGTAATTGGATATCGTTAAATTCTCTCGGTTTTATTAAGATAAGATTATTCGTCTCCACGTGTAACGTGTTCCCAGCTATCAAATCCAGAGCACTACGTTATTTTATTTTGTTTTCTCATTTGAATTCGTCGTCGTCATGGGAATAGAATATGTTCGAATGTAATGGAAGTTAGTTTATTACTTTAATCATAAAATACTTTTCGTAAAATCAATCAATCTACGATATTTTTTCTTTTGACTCTACAAATAAACATTTTGTGGCAATATAAAGAAGTTATATAATTTGTGCCGGCCAAAAAAACAAAAAAAAAAGTAGAAGAGGAGTTTAATCTAACATTTCTACAGTATATATCCTAAATTCATAACAAATGTCTTTTTTCGGTAAAATATTTAATTAGCTTAACGAATGTTGTTATTAATACTCTATATAGTCCATATATAGACAATTTTTGAGAGTATACCTTAAATTTAAAATTTTGCAAATTCGAGCCGTGTATGGTTGAAAGCCACCCACCGATGGTGAAATTAAAGATTAATATCGATACTGTATTATATTAATATTATAATTCTCTTATGATTATGATTAAGACAATAAATAATCCTCCACCCTTTTGATATGTAATGAATAGTGGCAAGGTCGATAAAAAAAGCAACATTGATATGATGCGACACAAGTCCCTTTATTATCCACACCTTTTCCCCCCCAAATCCCTTTTTTTATTTCTAAATAATCTTATAAGAACATTTATGACGTCACCCACCCATGACTTCTTATAATGGAAAAGATTCCATCTGCCCCCTACCAGAAAATCGGAAAACTAGCTCATTTATATACACACTGACACACACATAGATGTACAAATACATACTTGGTTTTGTTTTCATTTGTGAAACCAATAGATTATCAAAAGTAAGTTAGATTTATGAATTTTTGTTCGTTCCATCCCTAAGCGAATTTCCAATCGACATTCGTGTTTAAGTGACAAAATAAAACTCATACGTTAGTATTTCGAAGACTAGACCAAATTGAATGCATACTTAATACTTTGTATAATTTCATTTCCTCCGTATTTTTTACCCTATATATATCATTCTTGAAACTCTTACAAACAAACACATTACAACTCACAGTATAGCTGATTATATACAGATATGTTGATGCTGAATATTTAAAAGAAGAAAGGAAAAAAAAAAACAGAAAAGAAGAGAAAATAAAGGTGTAATATTTAGACAAAAGATGCCACCAGAGCCTCTGTATGTTAGATGGTAAGATGTCTATGTCAATAGCCACATTTATGTACAAACGATACCGCAAACGCCATGTGGTCTCTTAAAACGCAACACTTCAACCAAATCACCAGCTGTACCAATCGCTGTTTGCATGCTGCAACTGCGTTTCAACCAAAACTCTCCCTCAAAAATCAAAATGTACTGCTTATTTTATAGTACGTGACTAATTACTGTTACATTAACAAATCAGGATTATGAAAAGTTTTTGACTTTTTAGCCTATGTTTTGTTTTGTTAGCTCAAATTTCGCCGATCTCACACTTTATAGATTATTTTTATTAATCATAATGTCCTATTCGATAATTCTTCTTTTCGGGATACGAATTGGAGTTATAAAAATACGATTTTTTAGTTACAACTTACAAGAGTAACAATTTCCTAAGTATATAATAATATGAATTTTGATTAGAAAGTATCAGTTATAGAAAACTAATATACTATAGTTGGCTTGTTTTGCTTAATTAGCCTTATAGTTACCTATATATTTGAGATAAATTATCATTGTGCATTAATTTAACGTGTATGACCTAGTGAGTAATACATTCATGTGTTTACTTTTTTTCTTAGTGCGTTTAAGCAGAAGGAAAAAAAAATATAAGGTTTAGAGACAAGTGGGTCCAAAAAATGGAGAAAGTTGTAATTTATCTGTAAAAGCTTCCTGGTTACAACATGCAACCTCACACTTTAAGTCTTTTAACAAAACTTTTTGAAATATATATCTAAATCCTGCACTACTTAATCATAATTTATATGCTACTGCATCAAATACTGACTAATTTCCTCCAGATTATATTTCCTCTTCGATCATTTAAAAATTTCTGGCGCTTACAATAAAAAAAATATTATGTTTTGGCTACCATACTTTATAGATCAAATTGCATGTAAGTAATTAAACATTTCATCCGTTTCAAAATATAAAATATTTTAGTTAGAAGTGCATTAAGAAATTATTTATCTGCATATTACATAATACAAATGGTAACCAATATCAAATAAATCATCCTATTAAGGAAAACAGAGGGAATATATTCTGATTAACTACCCTCTAGCTAATATGATATTTTCAAATTGACAGAAAATTAGTTGAGCATCTATATTGCTTATGTAGACTTCCCACGATTTTGAATGTGGTATATGATCTATTTATTTGAAGCATTTTTTAATAAAAAAATAAATTGAAATATATTACTAGAAATAGTTATAAATCTAATCTTAAAATTTTGAAATATTCATTTATATATATAATATAAATTGTTATGGAATATTACATCACTATATACAGATTGTTCTAATAGGATTTTCGGATGTCTTTTCTTTTTCAAGGAGCAAAATCAAAGTATTGGAACTAAGTGATTTCAGAGAATAAATAGACATGCGCATAAAAACAACCACGAGAATACATAAAACTACTCGTATGGTGTGATCCTGTGAATAATTAATGCTCAAATCTTACAAGAATTTTAGGATAGTAACTGGAAAATATTTTCAGAAATTCTCCAAGCGAAAAAATATATATAAAAATTTTACATGGTCCAAAGTTGGTAAATGATCAAGGTTAGTGAAGCTCATGGTAATGATCGATCTGATGTAGATGTTTATATAATGTCGGTACACAGTAAAGATCAAGGTTAGTGAAGCTCAAGGCTAGGGTTCTTTTTATAGAAAGTTATAGAGCAAGGTTTTGTACGGCTTCGTGGTCAATATATTAGTTTCGGTTGCGCGGTAACCCTTCAAAGTCTGCCATGAGGTCAACTATCCGATAATTCACGTTTTGAGAGTCCCTAGGGCTAGTGGAAATCATCGATCATGCATGCATGCTTGTCAGTCGGTAAGTCGCATTTGTATTCGTCTAGCTATTCGAAATTAGGAAATTCATCTCTAACATACATTATTTTTTCATAGATATTCATATTCAATTATTCATATATATATACATACTTTAATATTTTACATGAAAAGATGTGTAGTTCGGCTGTAATCATTATATTAATTTCCTATCTACAACATATACCGTATATCAAACGGTATATACAGTATCCTCTTAATTTCTAAAATTTAGTTTTTCTATATACATATTTTGAATACGAAATTATTATTTTAAACATGTGATCAATCGTTTGATAAACTGATTCGTTTATCGACGTTGCAACTGTTAAATATGTCTAGAAAACAGCAGAGTAGTGATCATCACCAAATTCACATCAACTTTTTTCCTTTGTAGAAGAAGAATAAACTCACTTAAACTTGATCAGCGCTGGAAATTTTGCATGTCAATGTTCATTAATATCATCGCATGAGCATGCTTTTCAGCAACTAAACTTACACATCAAATTTACGCACAATATTCTTTATTACGCCCATAATTACACAAATATCATTGGATTTATCCGCTATTAATGTTTTTTATTAAAAATAAATGTTAAGGATAGGAGAGTATGTTAAAAGAAATGCAAAGACTTGATATATCTGATGGTTTTTTTTTTAATGGTGGTAGCTAGAATGATACTTTTTAAAAAAGAAGCAAATTAATTTGTTATATATATAAAATTGCACTTAAACTTTAATTAAGTAAAGTTTAGTTTATTATCATACTTATCAAATAGAAAATATTATTTTCATATATAATTTCACTTAAACTATGTGAACATATATATTTGTAAACAAAGAAAAATAGACTAAATAAGCTTGCGACAAAAACTAAGCTAAAACACATGAGATATGTATATGTTCGGAACTTAGACGATGACCCACCTCTCAAATCATACATTTAGTTAATGAAACATGCCCAGCCTGTTTTGTACAATAAGCTATAAGATATGTTACATCAAAGAGACCAATCAATTTCTTTGTATTAAAGTAACCTGTTTCACAAAAATGAAACATATTTATTTCCATTCGAGATCTTCAATTGTATTTTCTTGCCTGTATAATGTATATGTCGTCCTTATTGTCTATCCAATTAAAACAAAGACGTAACCATAAGAAAAAAAATTGATTAACAAAGCTTCAAATTTAAGATAGTTTGTACGTTAGCTAGGAATAACAAATTGTCTAATTGATTCAGCCTATAGCTATGTTGATCTATCCCGAATTTTGGGTACATAGAGTATAATCATCAGAGACGGGTCGTGGTAGTTTGGTACTGTGAATTTAAAATCGGATTCGTATCGGCCTAAGAGAGTATCACGAAATATTTTATTTTAGTTATTATAATGCAAGTACGTTTTGGACTATTGGGGGCCGTAATTTCTTACACAGAGGGAAAAATATAATTTAAACGACTCATATAGTTAGTAATATTTATATAATTTAGACTGACCGCTTGTGTTTCTGTCATTTCACATTTATGTATATGAACAATCCATTTGATTCCGTCCTAGGTGGGAGTAGACTTCAATCTACAGTAATTAATTAATACTAGAAACCAATTGATTAGTGAATTAGTT